TCTCTAGAAAAACTCATGAAGGAGCATCCATAGAAGACTATTTTCCTCTCTCGTCTCTTCCTAGAGAGAACTTATAGAAAACACATCTCTCCATACATGGCTTCAATCCTATTTATATGCAATTTTCATTGAGATGAGATGTTAAATCACCAAATTGAAGAATTAAATTTTGTTACTTTTTGTCTTGGCATCCATATTTGAGTGGTCTCACCAAATTGAAGAATTCAATTTAGTTTTTTTCTTTTTCTTAGTCCTAGTCACCAACTTTGACTATTCTTTTTCTCTTCTTTGGCTTAGTATTTATATAGGAATGTGGGACTTTGTTTGTACCCAACATTACTTTTCTCAAGCCAAGGACCGCGCGTATCATGGCCTCCCCTTCAACAATAATCTATTTGATCTACCAATCATCTTCCACGGTCGCTATCAACTAGCTGGATACATACACACCATCTGACAACCATTTTATGAGGAGGACTTTTGATACTAGCTACCAACCAAGATCTCTAATCGTTTGGTCATTTCATGGTTCAATTAAACGTCTTGTATCATCGTTATCCCCCAATGCGACAATGCTGGTGAACATGCAGTCTCTCCTTAACAGTACGGAGTATCATTTACTGCCTTTCTTTGGATAGCCCTTTATTTAGCATCTTTCATACCTTCTTGCTTCTCATGATCTAAAGTCTTGTCAAGACCTCGCTACACCAAAAGGTCTTGAATGGTATATTGCCAAATAGTAAAACTTCCTTTTCCACCAACACTAGAATTAAAAACTTTAATGAATCCTCCAAGATGTTTAGGATCTCTTCAACTAAAGTACCTTACCTTGTCACTAAAGAAAGTCTCTTTCTGCAGTATCTCTCTCTATCTTGATCTAACGCCACCAAGGAAACAATCAAGCTCTGATACCACTTACATGGGAAAAACTTTTCCCACTATTTAAGCTATTATACTCAAGAATAGAGAAAACTCACAACACAAGAATGGCCAATATTTTTTAACATGACTCAATAAACCTACATCCAAAAAAACTCAATATGTATATTTACAATGCATAGTAGAATTAATAGACAAATTGTAAGAAACTCTCATATAGTGTTTAAAACTCTTAATCAATTCTAAAACACACATACACATAAATTTGGAGCACATCCCAACAAAAGTACTCTCTAATGAGGAACCTTCTCTCTAAACACAATTTTCTATGTTGCTTCTTCCCTCTTCTACTCTCCTTTCTCTCCCTAGAAAAGGCTCTAATGAAGAAGCATTCATAGAAGAATGTTTTCCTCTTTCCTCTCTCCTTAGAGAGGGCTGTTTAGAGACAAGACATATATCTCCATGTATGGCTTCAATTCTATTTATAGACAATTTTCTCCGTCATGGGAAGTCACATTGCCAAATTGAAGAAAACAATTTGGTTACTTCTTATCTTGGTCACCATATTTGAATCGTCTTGCAAGTTGAATTCAATTTGGTTTTTCGTTTTCTTAGTCCTAGTCGCCAACTTTTACTATTCTTTTTTATTTTATTTTATTTTGCTTAGTAAATAAAATATAACTCTGTTACTTTGTTTGCATTCAACATGGACTACATATGCAATAAAAGGGCTACTAATGGTGAGGTAGACGTAGACCAAACTGGCAACTAAAAACGTATGGCACAAGGTGTGGACTACATATGCAATATCAGAATCGACAGTTCCGGTACTGAGTCTCAACCCATTTTACACTAAAACCTTAAAGTGTTTCTGGTTCCACAAGCCGACTCTGATCTTCCATTTGATGGAGCCAAAACCTCATAAATAAGGGTCAAGTTCCAATTTTTGTTCATAGAGTTCTGGTTCTGGTACGTTTTTAGAACCGAAGGGTTCGGTTCCAGTTAATAGCCAGCATAGTTTGTAAGGCGACAAGGCGAGGCGAGGCGCCAATGTACCTTCATATCGCCTAGGCGACGACTAGGCGACATACATACCTACATATACTACATATATATATATATATATATATAGATATATATATATATATATATACACACACACATTTTAAAGAAGCTTGATTGAGACACGGAAGACCGAGAGAGAGAGAGAGAAGATAAGTTTAAGTCTATTAGGCTACACTAAAAGAAAATAGGTTTTTTCAAAATTTTAAAGGGGCCCAAGGCATCAAGGCGAGGTAAGGCGAATAAAGGTGAGGAAAGGCGACACCTAGGCGAGCGTCTGGTCGCCTTAAGGTTTTCTAGGCGAGGCGAGAAGACAAGGCGTCCCAGTGACAACGCTTATTGCCTAGGCGACGCCTTACAAACTATGAGAGCCAGAACCTTGTTTGACCCCCTGGTCCCAATCAGCCTCTGGGAATGTAGATCCCGAACATGACACGGATTAGATGTAAATGAAACATAGAAATTGGAATGATGTAACTGACCACTGGGAACAAGATTTATTATATGTTGAGGGATATGATAAACATTTGAAACAGACAAATGTGATGAACAGATTGAGACAATTCTAGTTAATGGCATGGTGTAGCTCGTGATGAAGTAAATACTGTGAGGTTAGGCGACATATGATGAAAACCTCTATAACCACAGGAAAAGTGCAGAGGAAAAGGGCAGACATATACTTGAGGATGCTGACATGGGCACATGGCATGTGTCTATGTGGTCAGGAACCTTTTGAATTGCTCTGCAAGAATGCTAACATTAGGACATGAAGATTAGACTTCAGGGGGGAACTTTAGACCAAGAATTGAGGAGTTTGGCGTTGGCACAAGTGTTTCGTTATTGGGATCAAATTTAAAAGTGAAGTGAGACCCAATATGTTAATTGACCAAATATTTTATTAAGCTTAGTAATAATTACGGGGATGTGTTAACCAACATAATATTCCATCTGTCCCGAATTAATTGACACAATTTGACTTACCGGAATTTAAAAAAGTGTTGAAAAGTAAAAAGTACACAACAACAACCCAGTTGAATCCCACAAAAGTGAAAAGTAAAAGAAAGTGGTTGAAACTTGTTTAGAAGAAATAGAAAAAAATGTGCATCACACATTCTTTATTTTATTTGAAAAGTAAATAATTATGACAATTTTTTTTTGGGTCGGACTAAAAATAAAACTGAAACGATTATTTCGGGATGGAGAAAGTATTTTTAGCGCTTGTCCTTTTCAATTTCCAACTCTAATTTTTTTGTATTCGATCCATTTTGGTTTACAATATTTCATTGAAGTTATTTTCATTTTAATTTATTTGAAAAGTGATAAAAAAATTTGAAAATAACACTAACATATTTATAAGCTACATGAAAACTTTTATAAAACATGAGGTAACATGAGAATATTATTTTGTCAAATAAGTAACAAAAATAGGCAAAGAAAAACAATGAACTCTGATCATGTGGATACTAAATGAGTCAAGTGAAAAGAAACTAACTAGTATTAATTTTTTTTATTATGTTCAATTACTTGATAAAGTTTAATATTTAATTTTATTGATGTGACCTTTAGTTTGAGTTATTTTTCAAAAGGATCCTCTTATATGCACACTTTTATGCATTTATTGCATTTTCTGAAAACTATTTTGTCCAACCAGTGAACAAATGACCAAGTGACAAGGCCATTGCGATCTCCACTTTGGTTCTGAAAACTAAGGTGGATACATCTGAGGAGGCCTCAAGTGAGGTTGAGTGCTGCTCAAAAAATTTAGGCATTGAGATTTACAATGATTCTTTTGTCTGAAGAAATTACATTCATCATCGCCAAGCTTTACTTGTGATATGTTTGTTTAGATTGTTGTTGAAAGCTATCGAGGTCTGCAAAAACAGATGGGTTTAGAGTTGGGGCTAGGAGAACACCTTTTCTGCATTTCCTTTGTTTGCTTGAGTTTTGAGGCTAGTTTTTTCGGTCATCAAGTTGTTGAACATTGAGTCAACTGAGGAAAGATGCTTATGGCACATAATATTTCCACGAATGCCTTCAAAATTATCTCTTAGTGCCATTAAAAATTGGACCATGCATTGTTCTTCTCTTCAAGCAATACACGGCTGAAGAGCCTGTAATTACGAGAGATTCGATAAGAATGAACTGATCCCTAATATTAATGGGAGAATAAAAATCTTGAATATTAATATTATTATCATCATGTTTAAGATGGTGCAAATAGATGTTCCCAGACTTCCTTTGCTGTTGCACTTTTTCCAACCCACACACCTATGGATTACACAGCGTAGTTGCTTGTCCTTGTAATAATCTTTGAATTATTAGCCTCACATGTGTCTAATAAATCAGCTCTAATAAATCAGCATATCTATGATCAGTTTTTTGGGTTCAGAAAATGATCCAGAAACATAATCCCACATTCTCTTGCATTTCAAAAAGTTTTAAAACACAACTACAATATGAGTTGTGCGGCTAGTACCCATTAAATTGGACACCAATAAATTGTAATGAGTCATCTCTTTCATGAGTGGTATGCCCATATGCATGATAAAGAGTGGTGATATAATGAACCCCCACCGAGGAGAGGTGAAATGTCAAATACCAATCTGTAGATAAGGAGATCTGATATATCATATATGGATCAGAGTGGACCATGAAAAACTGCAATTAGGACTAGATGTTTTGCAGGTTGGATAATGAAAATTGTCACCATATCAAGAAAAATTTTGTCAAAATATTTTGCCAAGTATATAGTTAAAAAGACGAGACATCTGTGAGAACAAAGCTCATGTCTTACTCTATGTGTGTGCGTGCGGAGTTGGTGTTAAAGGTAATGTACACACACTTTTGACAATATGATATCCTAGTCTGATTATATGAGAGGCCTTATCATGATAAAGGTGGGGTGAGAATTGGGTTGACTCCATTTTTCAAAATAAATTGTGTGGAAGACGTAAAAGTTTGTATTTATATAATAAAAAAATCATGGAACAGCCCATACAAAGAGAGTATTATATACAGTTGCAATCTAAATAGTTTGATTAAATAAATGAATTATGCAGATATTCTTAGACATGGCAGTGTTGGTTGATGCTCAAGGGGACATGCTTAACAACATAGAATCCCAGGTAATGGAAACTTCTTCAAGCCTTCTCCTTCTGATCAAACTCAATTCATTTCTCCTGCAATTGTTGCTCCGTGGGATAATGATATCAGGTTTGAGAATATTCGTGTTAGGTGTCAGGTATTTCTACTCTAGTTTTGTTTGTTATTTTCCATTTGTGGCTTAAAATGGGTCCGGGAATCTATTGCCAAATAAAAAACCAAATTCAGCTTGGTTTGAACTAATATGGTTTGAGAGGAACATCACATTCCACATGATGCAGTTCTGTTTCGAGTTAACTCAGTCTGGTTTTGGTTAGTTTGATAATATTGGCCGTTTTTACTGTCATCTTTTCAACATGTTTGGCTCAATTGGTGTAGGTGAATGCAACAGTTGATCATGTACAATCAGGGAATACTGCACTTCAGAAGGCAAAGAAGTTACAAAGGAATTCCAGGAAATGGATGTGTTTCGCAATACTCGTATTCATTTTAATTGTAGCGATCGTCGTAATTGGTGTACTCAAGCCATGGACCCGCAAAAATGGCGCTTAAATTATCTCCTTTCGCCCCCACACCTGCCATTTTATAAATATGTACCAATTATCCTCTCACAAAAAAAAGAACCTCGTATTTATATACATCACACTATGTTTACACAAAAGTACACTACTCTTACAGTACCTCGATCTTGAACTAATACACTGACACGAATTATTTGTGGAATCGCACATAAAGTTTTAATCTCTGATTAAAAACGACAAGTGTTTGGCTTGAGTGGCAGGAGGACCATCCCTAAGGATTTCGGGTGGGAAAGCTCATCCAGGTTTGATTTGAACTCCATCCAAGGTCTTGATTTTCTATGTTTCAATTGAGAAAGTACGTATGAAAAGATATTATATTGTAATATAGGCAATAGTGCAAAAAGTGTTGTGGTGGGGTGATGTATTGGTCATTTCTCTTACACTAAAGCTTCCCTGCTAAATAACGTAATATATACCGTACAACCGGCTGTACAGTGTTTCTTATACACCCTTAGAGTGAATATTCATATCCGAGTAAATGAATACTCATTTTTGAGTAATTGTATACTCATTTTTCTAAAATTCAGTTTTGCATGAAAATGAGTATTTAGTTTTTCGAGAATGAGTATTCAATTACTCAAAAATGAGTTTTGATGCGGATGTACGGGAAATACAGTACATCCAAATGTATGGAATATGTACTCGCCAATTAACATCCATTTTTGTTGGAAAAACTTAAGCATGTTTGGTACTTCTTCCGCCTCGCTGGGAAATTCCAATTTGTAATGCAAATTGCACTACTACGGGAAATTTCCACTAATATGGAAAATTAATCTGTGAGTGACATTAGTCCGTGAGATAGGTGCGGAAGCAGAATTAAATCTTTTGCCCAAATAATCAAAGACGGATGACAAGGCTCAATACCATCAACAAAAAAATCAACGTCACCAACACAAATATATAGCTGCAATATTATAATTCCAATATTTCAACAACATAACACTCAATTTGTATGAAAATTTTAAAATGGGGACAATCATGGAATCGTTCATATACGGTATAAATATTTTCACTAATCACTAATAACCAAAAGTGTAAGTTCAATCTAATAAACACTAGAGATAAATACAACCAAAGAACAGTTTGGGTAAAAGAATCAACAAATTCAATAAATGGAAAACTAACTCCAAAAACCACGGGTTTAAACATGTTACTTGAAAACTATCTTTTGAGTGTCAGAATGGAAAACTGACCGTTAAATACGGAGTTCGAAGAAAGGAGTGTCGGTGACAACATTTTAAAACTTCATTAGGATCACACTCCATTAAACCTTTGATCCAATGAAGATGTTGGATAAACTAGCATTTATTTTCAATTCAAAACTTATTATTCTTTAAGAGCGAAAAAATAAGGGGAAGACCAAACCCGAACCCCTAAAATTACAAACAAAATGCATGAGTAAAAGAGATAGCATCATATTTGAGAATGCCTACAAATCCAAAGATGTGCTGAGGAGTGACAATATAAGAGTCGCCCTGGATTAACTAGCAAAAATCCTTTTTTGTTGAGTAATCTGATCTCCACTCTCAAGTCACATTTTCTTCAACTTATTTCTGCTACTTATTCATATGTTTATCAAAATCAGATTAGATTTATTGGGATGAGTTAAGATCAAAAAATTATATAAAAAATAAATAATTTTAAAATAATACTAATAATAATTACAATAATAGAATAATTATAATTATTATCATAATAAATTAATAATAATAAATAATAATAATTTAGTATCATCATACTTAATAATAAAAGTAATAGTAATTAATATTAATGATTGAATTAATAATTATTAACTAGTAATAATAATAATTACAATAATAACCATAGTAATTATTATTGTCATTATTAATTAAATAATTAACTAAAAATAGTTAATAATATAAATAATTAATAATAATACGGAGTAATAATTTATTATCATTATATTTAATAGTAATTAATAATAATATAAATAATGATTAAAATGGTAATACTCATTTTATTATTAATAAATAATAATTTTTATTTTTATAGATAATAATAATAATAATAATAATTGTTAAAGAATAATAATAGAATTTAACAATATTTATTATTTTAATAATAATAGTAATAAATATAATTATTAAAATAATAATGATAATAATAATACTAATAACTACAATTATATTCCATAATTACTAAATAAAAATAATTATGAATAATTAATTATAGTAATTACTGTAATTATTTAAATTTATATTAAATCCATTCAAATCAGATCAGATCCATTTAGATCAGATCAAATCAGATAAGATTCATTCAGATCAGATCAACCTTAGAAAAGTCACTTCAGATCAGATTAGCTGAAAAGAATGCTGCCTCAGTCTCACGCGTCATCAAGACATCAACTGAGTTAAAAATAATTTGTAAGGAGATTAATTTTTCTAGATTATCTTATTTAAGTAAGTAGCATTCTTTTTACTAAAAAATGAAAGATGATTAATACTTCCTCTATCCCAATTTAGATCGACTATTTTGAGTTACGGTGTTTTGACTTTACTTATTTTAATATCATTTTATATGAAAAATAGTGAAAAATTTATAAATAAAATTACATATTTAAAAACTAAATCAAAATATCTATAAAACTAGTAGTGACATGAATATATTATTTTGTCAAATCACTAACGAAAATAAGAAAAACAAGTGAATAAAATTTAATTCTGTGAAAAGTAAACAAACAATTTAATTTGAGAGAGAGTGAGTATAAATTGGATCGGAAGTTGTAGAAGAAATATACGGAGTATACAAAAAGGGAGCTTTCAAATAAAATACAAAAAGGAAAAGTGAAAATAATATATACTCGTACTTTATTCTGGAACAATCCCATATAGGAATTGAGAGGGTAAAATGTGTTCCCTTGATCCCTTCCTCTCCTTTGGTAAAGGTTTTATATTTTTTCTTTGTTTCATGTTCCAAACTGTGGAGTTCACTTTTTTCATTGACAATGTTGACTACTGCTTAAGTGCTTAGTCGTTTCGCTCCCACTTTAAACTTTCTTTTCGATCGGAATAGTTTGGATTTACACGACATCCCTGGAAACCTTTACGTGTAAAGTGTTGCTGTAATTGTTATATATGTATTGGTTATTTTTCCAAGGTGCTGTGATCTTTGAGGTAATATTCCATATAATGTACCTTCACAAAAGAAAAATTCAACTTTTTTTTTTATTTCAAACAAAGATCGAATCTTCTATATATATTTCCTTCGTCTCAAAAAGATATGATGTTCATGTTTCATTTTCTGTGTATTACGAAAATAAAACACCTCTGCCTACATCTATATATAATGATGTCTATAATTTATTTCATTTCTCGATGTTGTTTTGGAAATATTTTAGACATTTAAGAACGCTAGAAGTATTTTTATGAGATCCACAAAAAATGAAACAAGAACATCTTTTAGGGACGGGGGACTACTATATTTCATTCCTCTTTAATTTGCATAACTCCAAACACTCAATTTTACTAATAATTATGTCCAATAAAAATACTCTCTCTCTCTCAAAAAAAATTACACACTATTTTAAGATCCCCATAATTCGTGTTTATTTGTGATTTTTATTGAAAATTTGATAAAATAAAATATTCTCTTCGCCTCTTGTTTCGTACTGTAGAATTTTTTATATGGAGTACTTTTTAATTTAAATATGCAAGTTATTTTTTGTCTATACCAATCTTAAAATTAAAAAAAAATTGAAAAAGTTTAAGATTTTGTTTCATCTTGCACAAAGTACAATTCTTTTAAGAACAGAGAGAGTAGCACCTTAATTTGAGACGTACTACCGAGTATTTAAATATGTGTCAAAAACGGGGCGGCTCAAGTGCCAATTTAACTTTTTACGATCTTCAATACAACATTTTTACCATTAATATATCAACTTATATATAGATATGTATCATAAAAATATAATATTTAAAAAATTTGATTAAAAAAATTGAAATAGAAAAAACTATTTTAAACCATGGATTTATTAATTAATACGGAGTATGAATAAGTAAAATAATTTTTAATAATTAAAATATGTCATAAATATATAAAAAGGATGAAAAAATGATTTGTCGGCATGCCACTGGACTATTTTTGATTGGTTGAAGTGAGTCATTTGAGCGTATGACATTTCATTTCTTGCTCTTATTATATACGGTGTACTCCCTAAAAGAAGATATATGCCAATAAAAAAACAAAAAACATCATCACCGGAAAAAAAGAAGAGAATCATTTTGTTTTTAAACGGATCGAACATAGATATGGAAATTTGCATTATATATATTTAATATAGGGAGTAAATTAAAATATATAAATATTTTTATTGAGGTTGGAGAGGAGGAGGCCTCCATGCAGAAGCAGTGAGCAAGCAGAGATCCTTCCAGCCAAGCTTGAGGGCCCCATTGTCCTCCGCCAGCGTGTACCCGTCGGAGTTGAACATTCCGAGCAGCAGAGTGGCCTGAGCGGCGGCGTTTCCGGCCAGAGACACTCCCCGGAATCCCGACTGCTGCAGCTTCTCCCTCCAGTTGCTGAACTTGACCTCCCCCGTCCGCGACGGGCCCCCCACCGCCAGCACGTTGCGGATCTCCTTGGAGAGGAGCTGCTGCTCCACCGCGTGCCGCTCCTCGCTCTCCTCCCCGTAGCACGCCCCCAGCGAATCGAACAGCGCCGAGTAGTAGTGGATCGCCTCCACGAATCTCCCCAAAAAAGACCCCGCGTGGCTCAGGTCTTGTTCCACTACCGTCACCACTTTTGGAGCCAATCTGTAATCAAAACCCAAAATCATTTTTGCATTTTTATACTCACACATCCTAGCTAGAGTATTTTTGGAAAAATCAACACCAGAATATTGTGATGATAGTGTGGCGGTAATGTTTGTGTGATAGTTTCATTTTTTATAATAATGGGGTATGGATTATTGGATTGGACAATAAGACACCTAGGTTGAACAACATTAAAAAATTAAATTCAATCGATTAGTTAGTTTAACTCAAGAGCTTATATACCGCTTATAATCCCTTATAATATTATAGGTGAGCATGGTACAGTATGGTACGGTATTTAATCCGTACCGATACCGTACCAAATATATCGGTTCGGTATGAGATTTTACATCGTACTGATCCCGATCCCGAAATATCGGTTCGGTATGGTTCGGGATGGTTCGGTTTCGGTTTCGGTAAATATTGGGACGAATATATATACTTACCTAGTTTATACTTTAGAATGTACAAAACTTTTTATTTAAAAAAAATCGAAAGTGCATTCAAATAAAAGTAAGATAAACAATTGGAAAATGAATAATTAAATGCAAAAATACTTATAAAATCTAGTTTAATTTATACTTCATATTTTACAAACAAAAGGGAATGAATGATAAGAAAATAATATTTCAAATATTTGTTAAATTTTGTTATATAAATCTACAAAAAATAAAATTCAAATAAATGATTATATAAATAAAAGATTATTTGTAATCCATCTACACTTGAACCAACTTTTCAAAATCAATTTATTTTTGAATGAAGAAATATAAAAACATTGTTATTTTTAGAACGTATTTGTATATATGTTCGGTTCGGGATTTTTTGGTATGGGAAGTTACCTCATACTGATCCCAAATACCGGACCGATCATTCGGTTCGGTATGGTACGGTTCTTTTTCGGTATTTTATCGGTTCGGTATTTTTTGGTTCGGTAATCTCGGGTTTTTCGAGAAATTTCGGTATTAGTTCGGTACGTGCTCACCCCTAGCTTATATTACTCTAATAGACTATTAGTACGAAGTAGAAAACAAATTAAACAATGACCCGTTTTAAGAGGACAAACATAATGTGCCAAAACAAGCAACAAGATGAAGAAAAAAATCAGTATAAGTACACGTACACATACAATAATGAAGAAGCAGCTGGGAGAGAAGTCCAACAAAACACTCCAAGAAATGTCATATTAATGCTGCATGCATGTGTGTCCAGAAATATTTTTCTTTTCTCAAGAAATGAATTTATGCTTTTGGCGACTAACAAGTGGTTACATATGCATGTGTTTGTAATAGAAAAAAACATTACTAAATTGACATTAATTATATTAGCCGTTCTGGGGAGGATCCTATGCATTGGAAAGGGGAATGATATGGGCCCCTCGCATGGAGTCGATCATTGGTTATAAATTTAAAATACTGTAAAATACCTCATCTATGAAAAAGAAATAGTCACACTTTACTATTATTCTAAAATTATTAGAATTTTATTTATATATTTTCATCGGATATTTGATGAAATAAAATATTCTTGAAACTTCTTATTTTGAATAACTTTTGACATAGTTTTAAATTATTATGTTAATTTTAGTTTTTATTTAAACATTGATCTTCAAATAAAATGAAATAGAAAAACTTGAACTTTTATGTTCTACATTATGTGTCGTCAAATATTTTTGAGACGTAGGAATTACTGGTAAATTAGAGGGCAAGGAGCTTTTGAAATTAACTATTAATGTCATAATATGACATTAGACACTTATTTAGGAGTTTAGTGTGCAAAAGTGAATATGGTAATTTCAATAACGTTACACTTATCTAAATAACACTAAAATATTATTATACTCCGTATGTTTTTATTTCCCAATATATCACTTTTAGTTATTATCTATTAGTCATTAATCAAGTAAATGTTCACTATCACTGGACATTATTTTTTCTTCTAGACATTTTTAAATGTTATTTAGAGAATAAAAAAGTTTAAGTCTTACATTGGGAAATGAATTATGTTTTAATGATATTTAGTGTAAACATTTATTAATTCTTATTTCTTACATCCTTTGTCCCAAAATGTAATCAGCATTTCGAACAAACGTACAAAATATCATCTCTTTTAAAATTATTTTATTTATAAGTTGGTAGAGAAATAAAAAGAAAATTACACCGTTCAAAGTTAGGGTCAAAAGTTCTATAAAACAAGATGCAACAAGAGTATTTTGTTTTATCAAATAATCAACCAAAACGAGTAAACAAACAAAAGTTGTCGAAATGCCAAAATAATAATTGCTGTTTACATTTTGGAATGGAGGGAGTATTATTTTCTTCTTATTAGAATGAGTTCAGTTCTAACCAGATCAGACCAGAAACATCTTTAAATATAATTACTTTCAGATCAGATCATTTCAGTTCAAAACTTATTCCAATCAGATAAAAATTATTCAGATCGGGTGAAAAAAAACAAGCTCTTAAGCAACCAAAAAAAGAAGTTAAAAAGTAATCTCTCCGTCCAAATAATTTCTTCACTGTTTGAATTTCTTGGTTAAACTTTTAAAGCTTTATCCCAATTTATTAAAAAGTACATTGAATTATCATATAAATTAAATATCAGTATAATCTCATCGTCCCTATTTTGATTACAGAATAGGAATTACGATGTAAAATCCCATCTTTTTTTAAATCATTTTATTTATAAATTGGTAAATCAATAAAAAAAATAAAAATTACATATATCAAAACTACGTCCAAAGTTCTAAAAAATAAAATGTGACAAGAATATTTTATTTTATTAAATAATCAATGAAAAAACATTAATAAAAAAAGTTATCGAAATGATATAATAAATAAAATTGTAATCAAAATGAAATATGGAAGAATGATCAAAGTAAGACTAAAAATTGAAAATATACCAAAATAGGACTTCCTTGTTTTTTTCCCCAAAATAGGACTTACAATACCTGATGGTGTAAATATAGCTGGGTGGGTCGACCGGATTTGACCTGGACACTCGACCCGTAATATAAAACACACCAAGAACACAAAGTATGACCTAGACCGGGTAAATCTCCTCAGTCCGGATTATATTTCTTACTCTGTCTCAAGAGTGTACTATTTTTAGTGAGAGAAAGAATGGATCCCCTCCTCTATCCAATATCATCATATTTATAGAGGAGGATTTGTGACCTTCCCCTGTTCATCTATGGACAAAATGGGAAACCCAGAGGAAGGTCACTGTACATAATCAATTTACTATTCAATCAATGAATCTAGCAACTACAAGCTAAGACATGCACTGTTCAATCAAAGACTATAACATGGATATTCTCAATCCAATCAATCCTGCAAAACGCCAATCATTCCCTTCACTGTTTGCCTCGTGATGGATGAGCAGCGGGGTGTCCCCTAGCCTCTGATGTTGATTGCCCTTCTCAAGTAGCGCAACCTGACNCACTTTGGAGTTCATCAGACCTGGCGCTTTTGGGGTTCATCGGACCTGGTACTTTGGAGATCATCAGACCTGGCACTTTGGTAATCATCAAGTCTTCTTCTCAGACCTATCACTTTTGAAATTATCAAGCCTTCCTCTCGGACCTGTCACTTTTGTAATCATCAAGTCTTCATCTCGGACCTGTCTCTTTTGAGATCATCAAGCCTTCTTCTCGGACCTGTCACTTTTGTATTATTGGGAAATCCAAATGTAAACTCTAAATAATTAACCGGTCTTCTGCAACGTAAGTCCTCCTAGTCCTTCTAGAGTACCCGGTCAAGTTCCCGGTGCACACCTCTTCAAGAGTAACCGGTTATATGATGCAAATCTCATATGATAACTGGGTTAAGTCCCAAGAGTGGAAGGTTTAACACAAGAGTTCTCGGGAGGGTTCTAGGAAAAAGAAGGCCGGCCCTCTTCAAATGGAATGGTCACCAATTAAGGAGGCTTTCATGGTCCGGTCGCATTCCTTTGTGCCTGGTTGAATTTCTTGTATGGTTAAGTTTCTTGCATGGTTATTTTCTTGCCTGGTCCCCCTTTGAAGTTGCATGATCTGACTTGCCTCTACTTGAACATGCTTGATTTAGCTTCCAAGTAAAAAGAAATAGCCGGTCTTATACCTTAAGAATTGTTTTAAGAATGCCCAGGTCATATAATGCCCTGGTCTTTAAAACATCCAGGTCTAATTGGCTTGGTTTGATTCCAAGTTACTAGAAGTAACCGGCCTAGGATAGGTTAGATTACCTCTTGAAAGCGTCTAGATCTTGTAATCTTGAAAACGTCCAGGTCATCTCATACCCAGGTCAAGTATAAGTCTTGAAAACGTCCAGGTCTGGTACGTTTTTGAAGCGTCCAGGTCTAAACCTTTATTTTCATAAACTCCATAAAACGTCCAGGGTACCTCACGCTTGGCTAGTCTTATGGGCCGGCTTACTTCTAGGTTGAACTGCAACAAATGTCCCGGTCATCTCATGTCCTGGTTTAGTAGGCTAGGTTGAAAGTTTTGAAGAGCATTTTAGACGCAAGGCTTGAAAACTTCCAGGTCATCTCATGTTCTGGTCTCTAGACTTGAAATGTAATAAATGTCTAGGTGGAATTTGTCCTGGTCCACTTTCAATGGTTTGGTTGCATTACGTCACCAGCATGACGTCAAATTTTTGTCTAGGTGCCCGGTCAAAAATGTGACCGGTCAAAGTTGAAGTTCTCCAGATTGGTCTGATTTCCTCAAATCCAACCTTTAAAAAGTGACCGGTCACTTTTGACAAAAATGACCGGTCAAATTTTAATTTTTCCCCATTCGCTTTTTCTTGCCAATCCAGAACATTAAAAAGTGACCGGTCATTTTTGACCATGCCACTTTCCTTTACTCCTTTGGCCTGGATGTCATGTCTAACAGCAACCTTGCTCAAACTTCGAACAAATAATCCGAAACGGTTTTGGAATCATCAAGTCTCAACATCAAGACCCGATCTTTTTTTTTTTGGAGATTTTGACCATGTCCTATGATCGCGAACCTTCTCCAAGGTTCAGCCCTCTTCTAGGCAACACCCTTCTTCCAGGGCCCCTCTTCCAGGTTTTAAGTCTTTTAATGTGTCATTCTCTAATTATTAGGTTGACCTAGCCAACCTAATCTTCCCACATGGGGGTATGCCGGTGAGAACTAGCCCTCATCCAATCCTGCACGTCCATATATTATGTGTTCGGAAATTCTAGTCTTCCCTAGACATTCCGATCCACAAAGGATGGCTCATACAAGACGGTAATATTTTTTTTTTGGCATCTTTTCTAACCCTTCCCGACCAAAAAGTCGGTAGGGATCCATGTAAGTATGGATGTGAATCCTCTTCCGGATCTAGCCTGTCTCAAGGCGATACCTCAACATCAAGGCCCCTATCTCAAGGGTTTCTTTTCTTTTTTGCTATCAGCCCATGCAACGGTCCAAGTCCTAGATATCAAGACTGATCCGTCTACAGCAAGCTTAGTAATCTTGACCACATCTTATCCACCCTCTCTTCTTTCCCTGATCATATTCATGTGGGTGGATTCAAGTACTCGCCTATGGGTCTTCCTCAAGCCCCGTAACGAATATTTCATCCAATTCCCCTTTCAAGGTCATCTCCCTGAGCACGACCCTCACATTCCGGCAATCTGTCGTGTTGTGAGTCGGATTGGTGGTAGGTGCACCACTTCTCTGTCCAAGGTCGCTTGTGTTGTTCTCCTTTCTTCTCATCCCTTATTTGATATGATGAACAGACCCATCATATGTGGCTCTCGGCTAGGACCCTCCCATCTGGTCGTCCTTTGGTTTGTCGGCTTTTACCCTCGTATAGCCTTCCTCCAGCTCCCGCTTGCTGTTGTTCAGGACTTCCGCCTCGGCATACTCCCATGCCGTATTGTAGGCTTCCTGATAAGAGGAGGGTGGCCTCCTACAGAATTCAGTGTAGAGGTCACCTGACCGGAAGGCACTCATCAACAAAGACATGGCCGTCTTATCGTCCATCTCTTCTACTTTGTCAACCTCGTCCCTCCAGCGAGTTAAGAACTGAGTCAAGGACTCCCTCTCCCTCTGCCCTACCATGTTAAGGTAAGTGAACTTCTTTCTCTTGATGCAATTATCCTGGTACTTCTTGCGGAAAACTTCGGCAAGTTTCTCAAAGGACCCAATCTTGCCATGGGGAAGGCCGTTAAACCATTCCACTGGTCTCCCTCTCAAAGATGAGAAGAAGAGTAAGCATTCCTCAGCATCAGTGCACCCGGCCATCTGTGCTGCATTGTGGAAGGTGTCAAGGTGGACGTTTGGATCCTCCTTCCCTGTGAACTTCTCCACGTCCAGCTTAACCTTTCGTCTCAGTTTTTGTGCATGTACCCTGGCCGAAAAAGGGGATTTTGCCAGGGTATGCTTCTTTGCTCCCGTCTTCTCTTCCACCTTTTCCTCCAGGGCACGTAGCTTTCTCGCTACGCTCTCTATCTTGTCCAGGTCATCCTCATCGTATGAGAGCCTGGTATATGCCGATGCCCTGGGTTGGCTTTCAGCTTCCTTCTCGTCTAGGTGAATCGTCTCAGATTCCCTAGAACGACGAGATTGGACGGGACGATTCCCGCAAAGTCTTTCCATTGCGCTAGTCCGGCCCATCTCAGGACCAAGACGTAGCTTGGCAGACTTGCGGGGTCCATCCTCTTTGTCCCCTAGGCGTTTGAACGCCGAATCTCGAGTCTTGCTGGGTTTGGCTATAGCCTTACCCTTCCTCCTGCGGGCTGCCTCCTGCTCCGCCTCATCGACCTCATGGACATTTGAAGGTGCTGCTTCGTTCATGATCCCTGTCAAATTCACCGGGCGAACATGGACCATCCTTGGAACAAATGTTGATGGGGTCAACACCGGGGGTGGCATAATTGGTGGCGTCATGCCAGGATAGGCAAATGGCATGAAGCCCCCTGCCTGTTGCATCATGGCCATCACCTGTTGATAGCCCTGTAGAGCCCGAGCATTCGCTGGGTCAGCAGCAAATTCAGCCCAAGCTGACGGGTATGGTGTGAATGCTCCCCCAGGCATTGTTATCGAGCCTGGGAACATTGTTGTCGTTGGCATAGGAGTCGGGGTCGACATGATTGGGATCATGCCAATCGATTCTACCGTGGTGATCGGGGCAAAGGTTGTCCCCATGCTCGTCATCATCAATGGGATGGTAGGAGTGTTTTCACTCGCAGCCTAGTTTGACACAATGTTATGGTTGCTTGAAGACATGATTGTGAATATTTAGTGGGGGTAAAGTTTTGACCTGGTCGAAAAAACTTTAAAAATCGGCCCCACGGTGGGCGCCAAAAATGATGGTGTAAATATAGCTGGGTGGGTCGACCAGATTTGACCTGGACACTCGACCCGTAATATAAAACACACCAAGAACACAAAGTATGACCTAGACCGGGTAAATCTCCTCAGTCCGAATTATATTTCTTACTCTGTCTCAAGAGTGTACTATTTTTAGTGAGAGAAAGAATGGATCCCCTCCTCTATCCAATATCATCATATTTATAGAGGAGGATTTGTGACCTTCCCCTGTTCATCCATGGACAAAATGGGAAACCCGGAGGAAGGTCACTGTACATAATCAATTTACTATTCAATCAATGAATCTAGCAACTACAAGCTAAGACATGCACTATTCAATCAAAGACTATAACATGGATATTCTCAATCCAATCAATCCTGCAAAACGCCAATCATTCCCTTCACTGTTTGCCTCGTGATGGATGAGCAGCGGGGTGTCCCCTAGCCTCTGATGTTGATTGCCCTTCTCAAGTAGCGCAACCTGACCGGTCACCTTTCCTCAAAGGTTACCCGGTCATTTCTTGAGTTCAACCCATCTCTTTGGTCCTCTGGAATATCCTTCGCAACATTAAGTGACGAATTGGCTATCGCCCCAAATGTGACCAGTCACTTTTTTAGTGGAAGTGACCGGTCAATTTTTGACCCGTCCCAATCGAAGAGTTAACATCATTTGGTGACTTGATAAAAGTGACTGGTCATATTTTGACCTGTCCCTTTCGGTTATCCGGGTCGGGTATAAGGATATACCCATCAATACCAAACATGGTCATGTAGATTACCAAAAAAATATAGTAATGTGCATATGTACAATGACACATTACCACAGTGCAAAGTTCTATTTCAGGAAAAAACATGAAAATCCTATTTTGGTACTTGTGTCTAAGTTTTAATCCTATTTAGGGTGATTTCTAATGAAATACTCCCTCTACCCCAGTGTATTTGTCCAGTTTGACTTTTTCGAGTCAAACTAGACAAATTTTGAGCTTCAATTAAATAAAAATCGTAATGTATTTTAATATAAAAATGACTTTATTTGATTTATTGTATTGAGAATTTTCAAAATTGTATTTTATCACATCAGGGGCAAAATTAGAAAGTCAACCAAAATTACACTTTCATTATTTTTGGCCTAAAGTCAAAATGAGAAGGGTTTAAAGGAACGGAGGGAGTAGTTCACAAACTTCACCAATATGCCTTTTGTGGATTTTTAAATTAAAATATCTTTTATTATTTGAAAACATCTTATTTCTAGAAAAATGTTAAAAGAGAAAATTATTACTTCGTACTCTTTTTGTGACTCTAGCATTACTCTTTTTTAATTAAGTAAGGGGCTGTTTGGCAACTTCTGAATGGGTAAGTGCTGAACCAGTAAGAGGTCTGAACCATTAAGTGCTGAACCAGTAAGAGGTCTGAACCATTAAGAGCTAGCATATTACTTAACTATTCAGAAGCAAATGCCTGATCAATTCAGATAAGAGCTCTTAACCATTCAGACTCTGTATAATACTTAACCATTCAGAGGCAAATCTCTTAACCATTCAGACATCTGAACCATTAAGAGGCTGAAACAAACAGTCTGAACCATTAAGTACTGAATCATTCAGACATCTGAACCATTAAGAGGCTGAAACAAGCAGCCCCTAAGTCAAACTAGGATAATAAATTTAGAAGGGAAGGAGGATGCATGGGGAATGGTGCCGTACATCTCTACCTATAGAGCCCTATTCGTGCGTAGCTGTGGCTGGCAACACATTTAATTTACTCGACTGCAACAATGTAACCTCAACGATGACCCGTGATGGTGCAACAATTAATTTACCCGCTGCACTTCTTGGTTATATACTCTTGTAATAATTCTCCTCTACCCAAAATAATTACAAAAAAATATTTTCAAATCACACGAATTTTATTGAAATAACTCGCAAGTCTTTATATTTTCTGTCCACTATTGTGTTAATGACCGTTTAAAAATGTATTTTTCCTATTTTGTTTTTAGTGTAGTGATTTTACGTATATTTGTTTTTTATATCAGACAAAAAAATTCAATTTATGAAAAAACACTTGCATAAGTAATTGAAAAAAAATTTATGAAAAAGGAAAAAAAGAAACTAAGAAGTGAAGGCCTTAAGCTTTTTTGACATTCAAATAAATGTGTAAAAATACAAAATTCACCGGAATAAAAAGTACCGAGTACTATATAAGAAAAAAAAACTTAATGTTCAGGTAAGAAAACTAAATTATAAAAATGAAAAGAGTTCCTTTTTACCTATGATAGAGATGTAGTAGGTTACACTTGTGAGTTGTGACCCTTTCAGTCTTATATTGATATTTTTGTAAAAGTTTTATACTCCCTCAGTCCCTAAATAAAGTTCCTTTTTCGTTTTTTCTTTGTCCTTAAATAAACTTCTCTTTTTCCTTAAAAAACCTTTTTTACCCCTTACTTTTTCATACCCTACCTATCACATCATACATTTTCACTAATAATCTCCCTATCACATCTTACTTTTATACATCACATCAGGGGTATTTTTGGAAAGTAAACACAAAAATATCCTTCCCTTAAATCCTCAAAAAGTCAAAAATGGAACTTTATTTAGGGACGGAGGGAGTATAATTATGGATTATGTGTCCTTTTTTTGAAAACTGAAATATGTATCTAATTATAATTTAAATTTAATATAAATTTATTTATTTTAAAATATAATTTTGATATATAAAGTTATATACTCCGTAACTTTTATTTATTTAAAACTACACTCTGTATTTATTAATGGTGAAAGGTTGGTGACACTTTTTACCCAACACATTTTGTGATTCTTCACTTTTTTTTTTCTAAACATTTTTCAAAGATGAAAGAATTGCAAATTGTCACATTAAGGACAAGAGGAAATACATTCCATCCAAAGAGAACCCAGGGGGAAAATGACCAAAGAGAAGTGCGTACTTGTTTTATCCCAAAATTAGCATGCTTTGACCCTAGCCCTAAAAGTATCCCAAAAACAATTACAGAGCAAAACTGTAAGACACAACATGTTTTGACCGAAGTGGATAGCTAAGAAGCCTAAGATAGTACCCCCAAAAAATAAAAAGAAATGGTTATCCTTGAAGTTAACCTGAGAAATGATATGAACCTCTTTCAGACTAGAAAACTAAAGTTAAAAACATAATTTCACAAGAAATGATGAGTGTATGAGTAATTGAAATTGCAAATTGTTAGACAATAATAATAATTATGGAAATATTAATTTTGATAGTCTTTCTAGTTTAGTCAACTTTTATTAATGATTCATATTCTTAGTTGAGTTATAATCACCTCTATATATATGTTATGTTATGTATTGCATTATTTCTTAAATAATATAATTATTTTATATTCTATCATGGTAACGGAATAAAGTTTCTCAAAAAGAGTGAGAAAAAAGTATAAAATATTTTTCTGAGATTGGATTTGGTGTAAATTGTTAGAGATGATGATATGGATGACAATTCAATCCGAACTCGATCTTAACCGACCCGACCGAACACTAAAAATATTTGAATCCGAACCGAGAATAAAATAATATGAACCCTACCCGAAATCTTTTACCCGAACACGACATCGGGTCGGATTATTCCTTTTTTGAATCTCGGATCAGTCTAATGTCCTGTTCGCACTTCTAGCCAATTGTCTTGACAAGGTGCTACAGTACCAAATATACCTTTTATAATTATTTTTATAATTCGTCAATCAAAAAACGAGATACAAAAAAGAGACACAAAAGAATTTGGATTTATCTTTTTAAAATTTTTGAGTTACATCAAATTTGTTATTGGTTAAATTACACAGATTCGGGTTGGGATTTTGAGTTTAAATGTCGGGTTTGAGTCGGATTGGGTTTTGGTTTAAAAATAGGGTTTCGAGTTGTATTCGGGTTTTGATTTCGAAAGTCGGGTTCGGTATAGTACGATCGGACTTGAACTTGACCCGTTGCTATCCCTAGAGGCGATGAATTACTATATTTTGTGCTTGTAATGAATTTTGAGTTTAAAGTTAGTATAAGGGCTAGAAATGGTATGTTTCGAGAAGAAAAACATCCAAAATCCACCCTTTTTTTGTAATGATGGTTAGACAATTTATATGAACAAATTCAAATTGAGGATCAGATAAAAAGACTTTTAAAAAAAGTGAGAGGTCAAAATCGGAAAGCGATGTACCTGTTAGAGTGCATCCCACATCGAAAGTTCAAGAGTAAAATAACCGGTATATAAGCTCTTGAGTTGGACTAACTAATCGATTGGATTCAATCTTTTAATGTGGTTCAACCCAAGTGTCTTATTGCCCAATCCAATTGTCCATACCCATCCTAAATTCTATCA